GAGAGGGAGAGTCTGTGTGTAGAGAGGCCTGTCAGGGGTTACGAGGGTTTTGACGAAATGTTTTTCGTTTGAGCATAGGAAATAACGAAACAAAGTTCACAAGTTGAGGGCGATTAAATAAATTACGGGTGGACTTTAGTGAAAATTAAGATTTGACGCTATCTAGCCCCAAAAATGTTTAGCATTCGTCTGGGCCACAAAGATGACTCGAAGTTATGAAGCATTTTGATTTATTAATGCTAAATAAAATTGGGGAAAAATTCATGAATCAGGCTTTAAGTATGGCCAATTCAAATTCCAGGCCCAAAGTTCTAACATGCAAAAATCAGGTTTGTGTTAATTAATTAAAAATATTTTATTAATGAAGCATATTACGGTCACAGTTATAAAATTTATGGTCACAGATATGTACTTTAAGATCACAATGTCACATATTATAAAAATAACTGGTCACAGATTCTTTCATCGGCCACAAATCAAAATTATTATAAGTCACAGTTTTTTAGTCGGTCACATATTTTCAAATTAATTGATCACAAATTATTTTTAAATCGCAAGTTATTGAATTTTTAGATCACAGTTTATTTGCCAGTCATAGATTTTGGAATTAGTTGGTCACGGATCATTTTTTTAGTCACAAGTTATCAAGTTTTTAGGTCACAAATAACCAAATAATTGGTCACATACCACTACCACCCTCACCCTGACACCACACCACCATGACGACCACAACCATCACCACCGCACCACCACCGCCGTCAACAAAAATCAACGTTGATCCACCATCGCTGCTAGCACACCTACCTATACAACCAACAAATACCATCTAAAACCACACCACCACCAAAACAACCCCCAAACTACTGCCAAATTCAACCACCACCACAGCCGTCACCACAAAACCTCCACCACACAAACACATCACCACCACTACACAAAATACTGTCCAAACCCCCTCCAAACCACCAGATTCACCACCACAGTCGCCACCACAAAACCCGCCATTGCCACCGCCACCACCACACAAAACACCGTCCAAACCCACAAAATCACCAGCAACCCGAACTGTTTCTACTTCTTTGCGTTGATACAGTGCTTCGCCTGTGAAGAGTCACCGAGTGGGACTGCTTCAAGGCGGTGCAGAGCTTCTTTCGCGCTGACTGGTATGGCAAAAGTGAGGCGGCGCGACGGATCTGCATCGCCATGTCATCTCCTCTTCATTACAGAACCATCGGCGACAAAAACCACCATCTCCGATCAAGAAGATTACAGATACCAGCAAGCAACCGCACCAACTGCCATCTCCGATCTCTTCATCATAGCGCATCGCTAGTGCTGTTTATGGGGTGGAGATCCGTTGATTCAATGGCCGGTGTTACGATGGCGGAGGCAGCGTGACAGGGGGGAAGAGATGAGAGGGAGACGGATAGTGAGTGTGAGAGTGGGAGTGGAGAATGAATAAATTAGGGATTGTAATTGAATTAGGGTTTGGAGTTATTATTCAAACCTGATTTTAGAACAAAAATACTTTTATCTTGATTTTAGAATTCCAATTTTTAAACACCTGGAAATCTATAATTTCCACATAAAATTATGTGCAACCCATAGTCAAGCTCACGATTTTATTGTATGTACTGTTACAAATACGAATTCAGGAGCTCGAGTGAGTACGGACGGTCGTTAATCATTCATAACAATGGCGGCAATAAAAATCAAATATATCTATTAGTATAATATCACTATATTTCATTGTACCATTTATCAATTGTCAAAGTGATAAGGCATCTCTAAAATTTTAGAGAGGAGAGTTGTTCGAATCTTTCGCATTGCATGAAAATCACTACATCTTCGAATCTTTTCAAAATTTGAAAGTATATATTTATGTTACACTTAAAAATAGCACACACCAAATGCCACGGTTGTTGAAGTTTTGTCAATTCTAATGGAGACCACAGTTCGAATCTTTTCCCATTGCATTGGTTTTAATCAAAATAATAAAAAATATTAAACTAAAGTAACTAAATTAAAGATTGTTCTTGTAAAGAGTCGAACACTTGACCTCCCGCTTACAAAATGAATACCTTTCCATTTGAGCTACCAAACTAAACTTGAAGTAAATGGAATTACCTCATATATTTTCAAAAAATAAATACATTGACACTAAAAAAAAATAAAAAATTAATACCGACGGATCCAACACCGGTGGCCGCGGGTGCTCGCCGGGTTAAAATGCTCATATTTGCCACATTCAAGCCATTAAAAAAGATCCCATACTTATAAATAGCTGAGTACTTTTTGATTTTGATTATTTGAAATATTTCTTTCACTTACTCATTTGTAATCATACATTTAAAAATAAAAAATTGCACGATAACTTTTCCTTTCTTTTTTAACCATACTTATAGAAAAGTTCTAAAAAAAAAAAAAAAGGAAAGATCAAGAAATGGTCATTCAAAACCCCAGTTATGACATCCATTTTCTCACACTTTGGATCACATGATTCTTATAGGTAAATGCTATTTCACATCTTAATCCGAAATAAAATGGCTAGAGGGGAGAGAGGACATATTCCTTTTCCTGAGGGTACTTCAATAAAGACAGAGTGAAGCTTATAGTTAAGAGAATTAAAACACGTGACTATAAGCATGATCAAAATAAATTATTCAAATTCTCCCTTATCAATAATCGGTGTCAACTCCAACCTCGATGTACAAATGAACTTTATTTGATGTACATAATTTTTGTACATCAGGGTGATCATGCCTATCATGGACGAGGCCACATTTTGGTGGGTCTCACTTTATGAGCGGCATGAACAACTTTATGGATAAAAATTATTTACAAATTTTCCAGTACAAATAGATAAACTCGTACCAGTTCCCCAGTCCAAACCGGAATTATCTACTTCACAGAATTGTTTTGCCGACCTTTTTTGACAGATGCAGTGTTGGCAGAATATGATTGGCTGTCAAAACTGTTTTTTCCTAGTGGATTCTGAGTTAAAGAAGATAAATTTGTATACTTTCTCATTAAATCCTTCTCTGTTTGTGTCCTAAATGCGAATGCATATTCTAGTTAGAGAAATTTCCGTCCCGTTGATTCATAAGCAGATAAGTGAAGCCCGGGCGAGACTGAAGCAGCCGGAGACAATACGACGGCGTAGAGCGCTGAGGAGAGTGGATAAGGAGTTGGAAAAGGGGAATTACAAGTCAGCTCTGTCTCTGGTCAAGCAGTTACAGGGTAAACCCGGTGGTCTTCGTGGCTTTGGCGCCGCCCAACAGGTATTTTCCTACTTCTTTCGAACTTTTATTGGATTAGTTTCTATATTTGAAAACAATAATGGATTTCCCTTTATAGAAACTTGTTTGCTGAAACAAAAACATGTTCAAATAATTGCATATAATGATTGGAAATGTGTAAGAATGTAGCGATAATTTAACAAAATGAAAGATCAACTGATTTTTACCTTAATATTTCGTAAGTCATAGTGTTTGAAATAAAGGGTAGCTTTTTATTAAATAATTAAATTTTAAGAGCACGTTTGTCTAAAATAAGAATTCAAATTTATCTTTTTTATTTCAGAATTTTGTTCTAATAGATGCCAAGGTTTGTGAGTTAATTTTGCATTTTCTGTTGACTTGGGAGAACGTATTGAATATTTTAGTTTGTGAATAAGGTTTATGTAAGATCTAGTATTTTCTAATCACTTGAAGCAATTGGTCGTTAACCATAGTATTGAACGACATCATGCCAAAACTTAAGAACCTAGTTAAAAGCAAGATAGATTATGTATATGAAATGCCCAAGTGCCTAGAAGAGCATGTCAATAATTTGTTTGAAGTTTTTATATTGTGCAGGTGCCTAGAAGAATATCATCCTTGGATGAACTAAAGTTGGGTGGAGAGGTGGAAATATCCTCCCTGGAATTGATAGTTGATTCAGTTCTTCGTTCAATCAAATGTAGCTTAGAGTTTGCATTGTGGGAGGATGATGAAGAAGAGGTGTGTCTTTTTTTCTTTTTCCTTTTTTTTTTTTCTCGAATTCCAGAATTTTTTTTCCTCATATTGGTGCACATGAAAGGCACAAGAAATTTACATTTCAGAAAGAAGCTCTGCAAAAAATTTTGTTGAACAAGCAATATCATACAACAAAATGTTTTAGGATATGCATTGGATACATCAGTTGGATTCTTCTGTTTCTTTTCTATTTTGTTAAATCAATAATCTTTAACAGGTATCATTATTGGGATTCAGAAATTTGATGAATGGTGAAATTAAAGATTCTCCTTGTGAAGATCATCTAATGTGTATGCAGGTAAAATGCCGTTTCTCCTATTACATCATTTGGCAAAACCAATATTCTATGTGCTGCAGTTAGAAAGCCTCTTTATCAATGAAGGTGTAACAAAATTTATAGGTGCAATCTAATTGAACCTAGAGTTTCCTATCACTGATGCAAGTTGTTAAGTATTTGCTTCTAAAGTAGATTAAAATGGGAAAATACACACAAGTTTATTATATCAATACAAGGCATAACAGAAATCAAGCGAAAAGAATTCTGAAAAATGGTCGTTATATAGCATTATGACATCTTTATCAAATTACTGAGGTCATATATCAGTTGTATGTATTCACGTCCAAAATTGGGTCACTGAATACAAGTCACGCCACTAACACTGAAAATATATCCGAGATCATTTAATGCAATTACTCACATTATAACAATACTTGGTGGTTACCATGAAAATCCATATGAAATTCCTCTGCATGTTGGGGACCTAAGCTTTCACTGAACTGTGAGGAATGAAAAGCTGGCTAATTAACAGATTATATCTAATTCTTCATTTGTTTTGTCTGACTGCGGACATCACTAGCGTAATAGCAGAGGATACATGTACATATCATTCCATATTGCATGCTAAGATTTAATATGAGAGCTCTGGAATTTTTCCATGAAAAGTAAGAATATGATCTGCACTACCCTAGGTCATTCAAGTTTCAGATCGCATTCTAAAATTCAATTTGAGTTAAATTATTGCTCAGTTTTAGCAAGTCCAATTTCTTCCTGTACTGGTACAAGCTTACACAATCAATTGTTTAAAAAGCAGCTCTATGTGTCGAACATGCTTGCTCTTCCTTTTTCTCTCAGTTTATGATTTAAGCTTTTATATTCTGTCAATAGATCACATTGGATCTGCAACTCTGCAATGTTAGTGGTGCTTTATACACAGCATTTTCCAGCAGTTAATTTATTGAATTTATAATACATTTGCACAATGAGTATTTGTAGTTCAGAACTCTAGCAAATTTTTCGTTTATTGAGTTTGATAATTTTGCATCATCCTTCTGTTCTTCACGGTTAGCAATTGTATGCTTGCAGCATGAAGCGGGTCATTTCCTAGTTGGTTACTTGCTTGGGGTTTTACCAAAAAGATATAAAGTACCTAGTGTGGAAGATCTAAAGCAGGACAAGTTTGCTCAAGGGAATGTGGAATTTCTAGGCTTTGAGTTTCAAAGAGATGTAATTGCACTCTTATAACTTGATATCTTATCTGCTGCTACTAATATTATGGCATTACTGAAGAGCTTCCAAATCTAGCTAAATAATTGCTTTCATTTGTTTCAGTCTGCCCTAATATATGAACAGACCATGCAAAAGAAAATTAACATGTATTTTAAATTCCGTGTTCTGTTGCTTGACCAATTCCTCATAAAATTTTAAGCCATTAGAGCACGATTATCCTTAATCTTATATGCAACATTGTTCCTCATAAGCAGGCCTAGTTTCTTTTTCCAAATCGGGCCAGCGTGTGAAATTACAGTATAATTCTCTCTCCTATAAGTCTATGCTGCAGTGCGGGGGTGAGGAAATGGGGTGATTTTATTCAGTACATGCACAATTTCATTTGGTCAATTGAGCTTTTTGTAGAAGCTTAGGATAATCTCTATTGTAACAATTATTTCTGCCATTTCTGCAAATCTGAATATAATAAACTGTGGCTGATAAGTGATAATGATGGCTTTAACCATCAATATGTAGAGTAACCTCATATCTTGTTGATCAACCATAGAAATTCATGTGATCAGGGCCAGCTGCCTCCGTGCATGTCAAAACTCTGAAATGTCATTCCATATAGATCTGGAGTAGGGTCATTGAATGCAAATGCTTCATTGGTTCTTCTGCATTTGAGCTAAGAATACTATTAGTTTCCAACTTCAAAGCTCTATCTTTTGTTACTAATCTTCAGTGAAATGATACCTAAAGAATAAAAGCAAACGTGGGGTTTAAACCATACCAAAATGAACCAGGGGACTTTTACAAGAAACTGGGGCTCTTAATTACCTTATCTTATGACCATGTTTACCTTTCTTGTGCATCCATTTGTGCAGGTTTATATTGAAACCATGTCAAAAAAAATCTTTACCAAAGGAAAGCTGAGTAATGAGGTGAAATTTCTTTTCAGTTACTTTTTCATGTTTCTATTGAAGTTGCAATAATTGACAACATATGAATGTTGCCGCATCCATTGCTTAGATATTTTTTACTTCCATGACAAAAATACATAATCATTGTGATAAACTGAGTTAGGTTGACCAAATTACTAGCAAGAATGGGTCCTGCTAACAGTGACTGTTGCTGCAACTGTTAACTAGTTTCGTAGAAAAGCTAAAATTAATATTTAATAATCATTGCATCACATAATGATGAGTGAATGCTCTAGGTCATGAATTTAGAGGATAAAAATTCAATACCCATGGTATAAACTCTCTTAAGAACTGCTCTTGGGTTGCCTTGTCATTCATTTGTTACATATCCTATTTTCATTTTTCTAGAGTAGGAAATTTGAAATTGTTTGAGGTGAAGAGAGAGATTTAAGTGATCTTACATTATCTGAAGCTATATTTGTTAACCATCTACTTTAAATTTTGTAAAACAGACCTTTTTGCATAGAAAACTATTATGTGGGCATTGTTATTATATCAATGTTTTTAATATAGAGTTCACCATTCGAATACGAAATCACTCTGGTAGAACTTAAAAGTCAACCATGACATTTAATCTGAAATTTCAGAGCTTCTTTTTATCTGCACAGTGCCAAGATCACTTAGCAGGGGAAATTTTATCGCAGTCCAATAAAAGCATAAGCAGGCTGTTGTTTGTAACCAGAATTTCTTAGCTAAAAAATATTAAGGGTGCTAAATAATTCTACAATTTTTTCCTCAGAGAACTTCTTGTTTTTTGTGAATATTGTTCTATATTATCTGAAAGGGTATATTAGCATATTCTTAATATTTGGTGGTGGCACACTTCTTCTTTGACAGACTTTGAAAAAGTTTTTACGTGTAATACTTGGAGGCTTGGTCGCAGAGCATTTTATGTTTGGGTACTCAGAGTTACTACACTCTGATGTCGAGAAGGTTATTTTATTCTTTATTATGGTGCAAAATCTTGATACAGTATGATGGAGTGCTAACTGTTGGTACATCTACTGCGTCTGTGAGACAGTTGGAGAGGGTGCTCAAGTGGCTGGGCTTCACAGAGATTGAAGCTGACTCTCTGATCAGACAGGCTACTGTGGATACAGTCTTGATATTAAGTCGTCAAAAGGAGTCCTGGTCGAGCCTAGCAGAGGCTATGGCTTTGGGAAGATCAGTTGGCCTTTGCATTGATACAATTGAGAGAACTTTGAATTTCTAAGAAATATAGTTATTATTTTGGTTGGCCGAGGCTGTTATTCAGCTGTGAAAACCTGTATGTCGGCTCTTTTGCTCAACCTATTCTACTGTTGGAAAAGGAAATTGTGAATGGAGAGACTCTGGTTCACTCTTAGCTCTTTCTTGTTAGGAAAGAAGGTGAAAGATGCGATGGAATGAAAAATAAAGAAGGAATTGAATTTAATTGTAGACTCTGGACAATGGTTGTCCTTTGACGTAAATGAACTTGTGCCTAAGTTGCTTCCACTCTTTCAAAATCTGTGATACAATTCTCACCTCTTATTTCAAAATTCACGAAATTCAATTTTTCCTTTTTCCAATTTTTTGATAGACTTTCCTTCTACATACGTAGACAGACCTTAAAACTTCCATATTTTCCTATTTTGTGTAATTTTAGTTTTGTGAAATTGTTAAATATATTAATCATAAGCAAATTAATCATTTCAAAGGCGGCTGCATATTTCCCTGAATCCAGCATGATATACGAGTAAGTAGAGAAATATACTTAGAAAGTCTCGATGATTTTTGATTAATCAAAGTTGTGAACTATCTTTTTTTCTTTCATAGCATACATCGTCTTCTTACGATCCCCCGTACTTTCATCCCTTCTCTTTGCATTTGCTCTAAATATAAGGATAAAGCTGAAGTAACCGAATAGCTTGACAGAGTGGGTGACTGACCCACACATTTTGCGCTTGGGTTTCGCGTGAATTAAAAATGTTGACCCCCACGTGTGTGTTAGGTTATCCCATATGTTATTCCCTATGTAAATGTAGCAAAACCCTTAAATCTAATCCCCTATGAGTTTGCTCTAGTTACCATTCTCGTCTTTTCCGATGTTCTCCCTTTGCCTTGCGAATTCTCAAGTCCCACTCTTGCATATCGTAGGGTCCCTAGACGTATAAAAGACAGTAATACACCTTTTGGGCATAGCCCAATGGTGTAAAGGATAGGAGTGAGATTATCTCACGCCTTGCTTGCAGCCGCAGTGTGAGGGTTCGATTCCTGAGACATAAAATTGGACTCTTTATAGGCGCAGTGTAAAGGCAGCTCTTGTTCCCTAAACTGTTGGGGTACATTCCGCAATTTACTTCCTTCACAAAGCTCTAGAAACAAGACGGTATGAGCCCTTAATGTTGGAGTTCAACTCTTTTTTTTTTTAGAAGACAGTAATATTATTTTTCTTACCATGCACATGACAAGAAGCTTCTTCAATGTACTATATTCATAGGGCATTGAAAATCCTCGTAATAAGCATCTTCACTTCTATTATTATATGTATCGTGATGATCCTTGATAGATTTTCTCTCTCTAGTTGGGGTTTTGCTCCTGTAACAGGGAGGCGGGTTTTCCCAGCAAAACCCCTCTAGTTGCTACAAAACAACCAGTGCACGCACACACATGAACCTCGTAAGCACCGCCACCCCACCGCCGGGACAAACCACCATAAACGCCGCCAAATATACGGAATCACGTACATCCTTAGACGCTACCGACAAACCAAACCACCTGTTCATAAAACCTCGTCCAGAGGGAAAAAAATCTTGTACTAAATTCCCAGAAAAAAAAAAAAACATGGAACATTTCAGATCAAAATCATGCAATGGTGGAAGAATGCAAATGCAGAGTTACAACAAAGCCAACTCAAACATGCAAGATTTCAGGTGTTACGGTATTGCTTCATATAAATCATCACCCTCGGGTCCAAACAAAACCCGGATGAATAATAATATTGCTGCTAAAGATCAATGGAAGTTCAAGAAAGGGAAGTCGACAAACGGGTCGGTTTCGAAGAACTGGGGTTTCGGTGACCTGGAGCTGCAGAGGAAGAAGAGGGTGGCAAGCTATAAGGTGTACACTGTGGAAGAGAAAGTGAAGGAATCTATTAAAAAGAGTTTTAGGTGGATTAAGGAGAGGTACACACAAGTAATCTATAGATAATCTTATATTTGCTGTAATTACTGCTCTTTTTTTTTTTTTTTTTTTTTTTTTTTTGGTTAGGGTGAATAAATATATTGGTCAAAATCTCCAGTACAACTACTCTGGAACATTCTTGGACATCGAAAGTCAAACATTACAAAAGGTCTGAAGATCCAAAGCATTAGATTCAAAATGAATAGTTTTAATGCTTCCTGCAATTTCGTCTAATCAAAACTAGAACATGAAGGGTTGACCCTCTACGTAATGTAGGGCATTCCACTTCTTGTTGAATCACTCCGACATCAAGAGGGAGAGTTATCCTCTTTTTATCTTTTTGGACTACAGTGGGACGAGGATCATCCATCTTTCCTTTGAGCTTGTCATTGCAAGCTGCTTTCGTCTGTCATTCCTCTTGATCGTGGCCATTGATTTTATTCATTCCCTTCTTTTTGCTCACAACCTCAACAAAGGCATTTTCTAGTTCTTCCCTTTTTTATCTTACCCCTTTGTTCTTGTATTTAGTACCTTATATCTCTTTGCTGTGATATAAGTTGCCCACTTATAGTCGTCTTCTTCAACCAACCCCTCTTTCTTTTCTTCTTTCATATTTCTTATTAACCACTCTCTGTGGCATATTTTATTATTACAAAATTAAAACAAAGTACAATAAAAATAAAAATAAATGTAAAGTTCGTCCGTCCAGAGATGAGAACTACAATGAAAGGTTAAATAACTCTACTTCATGCACCTCACGTTATCATCATCATACATGATGTCTCTCAGGCTCTTGATCACATCCACTCTAATAAAAAAAATTGCGTAAATTGGTGATTGTATCCAAGTTGTCTCACTAATATGGTCAAAAGCATTTCCAAGCATATTCTCTAGACCGCAGACATAAAGGTTGAGAACCCGCAGCTCAAATTCATCAATTTCTTAAATGGGACATGGCAAAACTTTGAACAACGAAAATTTGCCTACTCAGATTTCAAGTTGAAGTTATTTAAAAAAAGATGATGAGTAGATAGGGCAAAATCAGCAAAGGAAAGTCTCTTAATTTTTCTTTGGTAATTTCAAATGTAGTCAAGGTTGGTTTAAAATGTGGAGAAAAAGGACATGCTGCGTCTTGTAGTTTTGCTGCATAGATACGGACAGAAAAATCTAAGCAAAATAGCAATCTAGTTCAAGTATATTAAGTCACCAAGGTGAGAGTCTTTGTAGTCACGGGAGAATCCATAGATGGGAGGTTATACCTTCAGACGTTCGGTGAAAGAGAGTATTGAAATCAATCTTACAACACAAGATCGTAGTCCATACGACCAATTTATCTTACCAAACACGTCATCAAAAACTAGGAAAAAGCAACAGGGAAATATTTCAAATTAGTAGAGTAAATTGTTGGTCAAAATTCATTTTGCGTGAAAGCTGTTGAAAATAAATTCCAAGAAATTAAGGAGTATCACATCAATGATACAGAGCCAAGGATTTCACACCCATACGTGGTTCTCAACCACAATCAAACAAACAAAAGCAGTGGCAAAAGCCCATCCAGCTACTTGAATACTTAAAAACCAACCGCATAGATTTTGTTGAAAGCTAGCGTTACAATGGCAAATTTACAGTTCCAGAAAATACCCGGCATCGGGAAGAAATAAGGTTTGAGAGGTAGGAATAGAAGGCCACATGGAATTAAAGACCCACGCCGCCACAGATCAGTGCACGTTCAGTTTCATAATCTGCTTTGTCTATTTATTGGCTACAGATCTTCGCGAACATGAATACCAACCCCCATTTCCTTGATTTTCCAAATCAAATCTTCCCCCAAAAGCATCTTCAACATTCTTAATCCTACCTCCATCTATAACACAAACTGATGATAAACAAGAACGTGACAATGCGTGCATTCAATAATGTACCCTCTCTTCATCATCGAAATTCAGATTCTCAATACCCTTTATTGTGGACTCATAGTTCCTTGTGCTAGAATTGTTCCTGCCAGAAGAGGCATGCTTTGGGTCAGAGGATCCACCGAGTGGTGAACTTCTTTGCCCACTTGATATTTTGTGCATAGTCCCTGGACTAGCCTCAGGGGTGCGAGAACGGGTGGGATCAGACTCATTTCCCATGGTAAAAGTGTCGCGGCTTCCAGAAACTGCACCTCGCCTCAATGATCCACTAGACCTTCCCAAAAATGTGGAGCCCGACATCTGTAAAATTCAGTTATTAAAATAGAGATCACATACATCACATTTTGAATTTTATTAAATATTTATTGTTAAATACAGAATCATCTGTATTTATACAAAGATCTTTTCCTGAAATATGTCACATAACTAAGACAAAGGAAATAGTAAGTATAACCTTTACTGGTCCTGACTACTGACAAGTTCACAACAAACTGGCTTTTTTCAGAAGGCAATTAGTTTATCTCATGTTAAATGGGCTTTCTCCCTCAGTGAGTAAACATAATTTGCTACTCATTTTTGTGGATTACAATTGCAACATTATGGTTGCTTTTCTCTGTTCAAATTCTCTTGCGCGAGGACCAAATGTGTGCAACTACTACTACCATTTATAATTGAGCTGGAAGAAAAATGCAAACTCTAGTACTTCATGCGGAGAAAGCATTCGTAATAAGATCCATATAGTCTTTAGGGCCAGAATAAGTTCAAACACTTTCTTATATGCTTCACTTTCTTACAGCGGAGCAGTCCTCATCTAAACAGACGTTGCCCACCAAGACGTATAACTATAAGATGAGAAAAGAAAAAGAAAACAAAATGCAGATTTGAAGGGAGAGAGGGACAAAAAGATGGCGATTCTATATAAAGAAAAAGGGTGATCAAGAAATGTTAAACCCGAATCTTACGATAATTTTCTCCGAAACTCCCTACTGGCCCAATTTGGATATGGAATCTGAATAAGAAAATGACAAAATTCTGGACCTAATAACTTTATGATAATGCATCATCTATCTCATTGCACCAAGCATATAGCTCAGCCCCTGAAGGACAGTTGCTATTGACCAACTACCAACTCCATTTCAAAGCTTTAATCTACAGTTAAAAATGACTTGTCGCCACTCACCACAGCATCTTTGCTTGTTGAATCATGTGCAACGGGACTCTTCTGCTTGGACAAACTTCCAGCATTTATAAGTTGTCCAGAATTTCTCCTTCGAGAAGGATCTGCAGACGAAGCACCACCTTGCCTCCCCTCTTCCTCGCCTGAATAAAGTCGACAAATATTAATTTTAAACCACAGGTATGTCAAGAAGGCCTTGGAGTGAAAAAAAAATACAGTGAAAGGACTCGATGGGATCGAAAATTCCTTTATCTATTATCCATCCATCTGGAGGTGCAGAGAGAGGAAGAGAAAGAAGCAATAACAAGAAATTACCAGGCTGTCGTTCAGCATTGGGGATTGCAGGGGGCAATCCTGAGCTTGTACCAAGAGTTTGGCCCTAAAGGAAGCATATACTCCATCAAATGCATGAATAGCAAATTACCTACTGAAAAAATTTCATCGTTATATCACTTACAAGAGTTCTGGAAGGAGGAGCACCCATCTGTGATTGTTGATACTTCAAAATAGTCCAATCAAAAACATAATCAAATTGGAAACCTGAAAGCAAAATGACAATTAAATATAATATCCACTTTTATCTACTTCCTCAGGGACAGGAACAGATGCATTCATGATAAATTCATAAATTAAAGTGAAAATTATAGGCTTGCTATTTTCAAACCTTCGCGAATGAAGAGGTCACGGAATAATCTCTTCAGATAAGCATAATCTGGTTTATCCTCAAAACGTAGTGATCGACAGTAATGGAAATATGATGCAAACTCTGTTGGATAACCCCGGCACAAAGCCTGACAAAAAGGTAACTCAGCATGCACACTTTCATATAGCCTATGAATAGACATCTACACAGTCTTATTCACAGATGAATACCTCAATGGAAGTTGAAACCTTTTTCTCACTTATCTTCTCATACTTCTGTTTCTTGGTTCCTGCTTTCAATCCTTGCCAAGGAAGGCTGCACAGAATAGATATCATGATGATGCCAGCTCAACATGCACAAGGAGTTAAAAAAAGAACGAGTCATGCAGCAACCGTCACCTTCCTCTTAAGAAGTACATCAGGACATATCCAAGAGATTCCATATCATCTCTTCTGCTTTGTTCTAAAAAAGAAGATACCAAAGTTCAAACGAAGAAGGATGTTCAACTAATGTGCAAAGCAGCGAAAAATAATACAAAGTTACAATTGAAAGAATTGCTCACCTATACCCAGGTGGGTATTCATGCTTGCATATCGTGCCGTTCCAGTCAAGTTTTTGTTCTCCCTGCAATGTCGATGATGGCGTACATTATATACATAACTAGTTTAACATAATCCAGAAATTCTAATTCATAGTAGCTACATCTTATTTAAATAAGTCATTGCAAAATTGAAATAACCCAATAAAAAAGAGTAATGTAAAGAAAATTTACTGCTCTGAAGGATACTTTCTATTTTGCTCCTAGGTTTAACATTAACAGGGCTGTGGTCTCTAATCAATCATAGATGAAATTGGTAATGAACTTTGAGCATTCAAGGTGAACTTGATTTATGACCGGGAGTATTTGTGCCTAGTATGTTTTCAGCTTTCAGTTTCGTTATTTTTCCCTGCTTTCTCTCTTTTTAAGCCAGTCAATGTAATCAAATAACCATTATACTATAGTTTCCATCTAAAGGGGGACACATTTACCAATTGCTGAACCTCAAATGGAAAGTTAACATCAAACCTAAAGAAGCAAAACAAATAGCATATATATATAGAGAGAGAGAAAAATATTCGACAGTTGCAAATTCAGAAAAGTAATGAAAAAAATACCATAAGAAATAGGTAAATCTCCAAACCACTCACAACCAATTGACTTCCAGCTTTACAAATAAGGATAAAAGGACACGTTTTCAGTTCTTTACTTTGTGTTCATTCTTTTTCCCAGAAAGATATTTATTTACTTAATTCAATTAAACATGTGACTTGGGACGTGGTTAATCAGATTCACTACTGTCTTAGCCATTGAAGCGACGTGCATTCCTACAAACCATCATTATAAATTAGTTCTAGCAACACAATGTTGCAGATACTGGTCTTCCATATCCATAATAACCAACAGTTAAGGACGGAGAAAACACCTTTGTGCTGAAGAGGGAACAACAAATGCAACAGTGTGAAGGTTTCTAAATGATCCAGTCACAAATTTGACCCACAATTTATCCTTAAATCTTCATGAAATTCACACCATGCCTCTTTAATATCTTTTCTTTTCGTTTTTTTATTGGTTTGGGGTGGGATGGGGGTGGGGGAGAGGGATATAACAAGTTGTGGGAAGGAAAAATTGGCAACGGCTGTCAGTATTTTTCAGTGAAGTCAAAAGGAAATTAATCTGAAAGTTGTAAATAAATCCCCGTAAATCACGTTAATCTCAAACAGATCAAATATAAGCAAACCCATCAGGCAAGATCAGGACAGCTGACAAAATAATTGGTCATGGAGGACAGAAATAATGCTCCAATAGTCTCACCTGTAAGAAATGTGTTGGTGAGTTGATGTGTCTCTATACTTCTTGGCCAGACCAAAGTCAATGATGTAGACCTACATTGGAGACAGTGGTTTATATATCATATGACTACAGACATTTTTTAACAGAATCCTCCAAATTAAATACGCCTTCAAATAGAACCTGATTTGCACGCCGTCCCAAGCCCATGAGAAAATTGTCTGGCTTGATGTCTCGATGTAAAAATGATTTAGAATGAACAAATTCAACACGATTGATCTGGAGTTAATATTTGATAAAGCCAACATATTTAGTTATGCACATGAATGAACAGAAAAGAGTATCTCTTTTTAATGAGGAAAGCAGTGAAACCAATATTAAATTTAAGAATTAACCATTTGATCTGCAAGCATGAGAACTGTCTTCAAAGAAAGTTTCCTACTGCAAAAATTGAATAGATCTTCTAGACTGGGCCCAAGCAAATCCATTACTAGAACATTGTAGTCTCCCTCCACACCAAACCATCTTACATTTGGTATTCCAGCTGCAATTTAAGGACTATTGTAATTAGAACCCAAATTCAATTGACACGAAGAGTTCATTTAACACCAATAATGAAAAAGGAACTATCAATGGTGATTACTTCCACCCTGCAGAATCCTGTATAACTTTGACTCGTACAGTAACTGAGGATGTTTTGTCTTGACATTTTCCTGAGAGCATCATCAAGAGTATCAGTCACTGTAATCTCATATAAATAGAGTCAACATAAAAACTTAAGAAGCGTACACACCATGAATAAACAAAAGGAAATAAATAGATGCAAGTTAATAGCATAGCATAAAAGTCTGCGTGCCGCCAGGTGTAGATAGTGATATCAGCGCATTTTCTTCTTTAATATCAATAAAATATTCAAAATGATATTTCCACTTGCTATTTATTTAGTGCAACATATATTTTCACATTGGGTCCATTTTTTTAATCAAATTAGTGAAATTAGAAAAAACATTTAACAAAGCATTGTTAGGTAAGAATCCCAGAAGAACACGACTCACCATAACAAAAAATTCCCATTTCTTTCTCCAGAAAGAATGTTGTACAATGGCTTAAGTAATGAACATAAGCTTAGGGTTCTTAAAGAAGTAAAAAGTTGCAACAAAAATATATTTACCCGATACCCTCTTCGCAAAAGGAGTATAAATTGCCAGAGCATGTTTAAGATGAGGTAAATTGGTAGGTACTAGTAGAGATGGTCATATTATGAGAATACTAGATAAAAAAATATCCAAGTACAAGCATTAGTGAACTGTCAATCAGGGTGTGAATGACTGTATCATTTATACTGGACATTCCATTTCTACGCATTTCCTCCTAAACCATCAGGCTTTATCCAAGGTGGTAGGGTCCTATCGCTAGGCCTAGGCATTTTAGCCAGAACCGAATCTCCCGGAATCGGAGGTTCTGGTCGGGTTCCTGAAAAAATAAATTAGGAACCGGAACTGAGAACCGAGTGGGTTCGGTTCGGTTCGGTTCGGTTCTTGGTTCCTGAACCAGGACCGTGGGTACTCGAATGGAACCGATTTTTATAAAAAAAATTATTTATAATTTATTAGTTGGAAAAAACATATAAAACCTAAAAATCCTAATTTTGGTAGTAATTATTCTAAAACCTATAACTCTAACCCTAAAAAATAAGATTGGTTCTTACTTTTTACATTTCACCTTGCATCAGATTGTTGCATCTCAGAGGTTATTATATATTAATATTTACAATTTGAGCTTTTTATAAATAAAAAATTTAAACAGATTGTAATATAAGTTAATGAATCAAAACGTTCATTTTTTTGCAATTCAAGCTTTTTACTTTCTTGTATTATGTTATTTTTTTTAATTTTTTTTCATAACGCATGGCAATTGAATTTGATATATTCATTGCTCACGTTGTGTTTTACTCTTTTGTTATCTTGAGTTTGTGGTTCTCTTTTTAAATATTTATTTTTTATTCAAACAGAGCGAGTTCAATGCGTGGACCATAATTTTTTGATACTATATTAGCTATGTATTTAATTAGTATTTTTTATATCAGTTTGTTTAAAAGTAGAAGAATACAAGCATTGTTTATAATTAAATTATATGCCTAGTGTGCATCTCTTAGAGATCGAATAAGATTTATTAAGAAAAGTAACTTTTTCCTCAAATTATAATTTCATTTTTTATTTTATTTTCTTCAATTTTCTTAACTTTTAGCATCCAATATTTTGCCTTTTGAAGATATTTTAACTGGATTTTCTTCACTGCATATATATTTTCGAGTAGCAGCATATTAGATATATATACCAAAAGGGTCTGTGTGAAATATTTATTAAATAAATGTATATAAAAATGTTATGGGTAGAACCAAAATCGAATCGGAACCAATGGTTTAGGTTTGGGTTTGGTTCCAGTATTTACAAAGATTTGAATGGTTTTATCTGTGAAATACTCGAAACATAATGGGTGGTTCTGGGTATTGAAATACCCGAAACGACCCACCCGATGCTCAGGCCTACCCATCACGTTCATAGTAGAGTAAGAAAATATGGTACCACTACATTTTTTAACTATATACAAAAGATCAATTATATCATTACAATGGAGGGCAGGAAAAACACCCACCATCCACGGGAAGCCATGATCTTCAATTGACAAGATTAAAAGTCATAAATTATAAACAACAAAAGATTCATAAAATAAAACCTATTAAAACAGCAATAAGCTAGTAAATGACTGGGCCCTTAAAGTGAGGAAATGAAATAAATCGACAAATACGACAAATTCCAGACTACTCAAAATATACAATATTTGTTGAAATCTCTCATTTCTCAGCTCAAGCACCCAATGGTTTACTAGTTTACTAGTTAAGTGTTCGTACAGAAAAAACTAATTTTTGCTTGCATTTACCAATAAATGTAGTACCTTACATCCCATTTTCTCTGTATTTACCCAATTTCATCACTAAACAATTCATGGTTCCACAAACTTCCCTCTCAAAAGCATATTGCCAATGCTCAATTTAAGTTTTCATACAGAATAAAATTGTGAAAACTCTAGAGCTCATAATCCATTAATTTTCAAGTTCAATTATTTCTAATACCAAACAAATAATCAAAAACTAAATTGGAAAACTGTCCCCAAAACCCCCGCGGGGGGGGGGGAAAACTGTCCCCAAAACCCCCGGCGGGGGGTGGGGGTACACTTTCAGAAATCCCAAATATTCTCAGCCAGACCATTAATTACATTACCATATGAAGACAATTTCATGAGTCAGCGACAAAGAAGATAAAGTAAAAACTCATCACCAAGAAACGGAAAAAAAAAAAAAACAAAAAACTCACGAGCTTAATTGCCACTTCTTCATTTGTCTGTATATTGGTCCCTGCACCCAGAGAAGATCCAACCATGAACACTCAACTAAAACAACACACATAACATGAATTATAAATAAACAAGCAAAATTAGATATAATTAGTAAAATTACCGAGATAGATCTCTCCAAAAGATCCACTGCCGATTTTCCGACCGAGTCGATACTTATTCCCCACTCGCGGCTCCATTGATAAAACCCCTAGCTCTCTTACTTCAGTCACAATCACAAAATTCACCGATTACAAACCCGAGAGAAAAACATAAAGATCTAGGGTTTCATATTGTTCCCATTAACTAGTAATTAATGAGCGATCAATTTTCTCTCTTGAAAACAATTACTAGGGTTAGGTACAGAACGGATGAGAAGAGGGAGAAAGAAGAGTTTCCACCGAGTTTCTCTCTCTACAAATATATACGGAACAACTACATCTATGCGCTGAAAGTCATGTCGTACCGTTTTTTAATATAAGAAAGGAAAAATTGCATCACTAATTTCCAACTTAAATTTCCATGTCATGTTAGTCCTTCATCTTTCAAGAATTGACTGTCAAGGGAATAAAATATTCAATCCTTAAGGCCTATTTGTTTTTGAGGAAGTTACATTGCGTCAACTTTATCTCATAGTCATTTTAATAATTATATAAAACACTTCAAAAAAGTAATTAAACATACTCAAAATCAATTTCTTATCCTCAAAAACTTATTTTGACATCTCAAAGTCTTCTCAATAAGCCCTCATACAATTAAACTTGAACTAGCCAACATTTTGATTACACATCGAAATGTAAAAAATCGAGGGAATACACCCACTAAGTGGCCAACCCATTAAGCATTTGGTAGTAGTCACCAGTTTTAGATTTAATGACTAAGCCCTTTTCGGTATAGACTAAAATCTAAAATCATTAATTTTAACTTATGACTTTTTAGCAACTTTTAATTTACATCAAATATGAGCTAAGCTCGCCTAAGGTCGTAACATCTTCAATTTTACGAAACTAGTTGATTTTTCTTAAGTTTGGTTAGTGTTTAGAAACTTAAATGAGAAATATTTTCATGAAAGTTGCATGACGATTTAACCAAGATTTGGATGGACTCCATTTTGGTGATTAATTATTCAATTATATTAAATGGATGAAACTGATTTGCTTAGTTTGAAAGATTACGGATCAACTTGCTACATAACAATAAGTTTGAGACTAATAGTGAATTTTCTTTATAAAAAGGTAGAGTATTGATACTGGCACTGTGTGTGGGGCACGCGTTGATGAGACGCGTGGTGGAAGGTTCTATTACAGCGAAAATAGAAGAATGGGTTGTCCAGCTGACGTGTATGCGTTGGGCCACATCACGTGACTTTTAGCAGACCTATCCAGAACGGATGTGTTACGTGATTTAACTTTTCCCATTACAGTCAACGGCGTAATTAATAGGTAAAATCCTTGTCATTATAATTTATTAATGACATTTTAAATTATATTTAAAGTCTTTTGAGCCCATGATGGCGGGCAGCCCATAGCTGGGCCCGAGCCGGGACTTGGCTTAAGCCTGGGCTGGCCCGTGTGGCCCGGGTCGTGAAATGGCCTGTGTCAAAGGCTAGCTCGACTCGTTGCCAAACTTCAAATTTTTTTAATAATATTTAAATATACTTACATAATTAATATTCATAATTATGCTATAATTATCTATGTTTATAATTTATTATCATATTCATTAGTATTCTCATTATATTTTATTGATATAAATTCTAAATTTTATTATATAGGAGTTAAAGAATATTATTTGTTATCTTGTGGTGTTGAAATTTAGAAGACGTTTTTTATTCCAATATTTTTAATTCTACAAGTAAATATCGGGATATTCATACACCTGAAAATTGTATTTTTAATTCGTACATTCTTGTATCTATATGAATATTATTTTATGTTTTCTTCCCGACTTCTTCATATAAATATTTCATGAATTCAATAAAAAAATTTTAAAAATCGTAAGTCTTGGCTGGAAGCCTGGAACTAAAAAAGCTTGAGCTTATTTTTGACCGGGCCGCGCACGAGCTGGCTCGGTCCGATTCGTTTACACTCTTAGTTTGAGTCTCATTTTTTCAATAAAATACATTTTGAAATAATACTTAAATCTGTTTGGAGAAAATATATTCCTACAAAAA